GACACCAAGCATTAGCCATTATCTAGAAATTTTTCTATTAATACTTGATTTTTAACATTATTTCAGATCTCTGAACATCCTCAAATTCAAGTGTCTTGAAAAAGCAATAATGAGCCCCATATTTCATTTCATTTTTATGCTAATTCAGTAGTATGAAATGTTCTGTCGGCTCCACTTAGAGTCATGTATTTCAAACATGCAACTTAACTTTGATCTGTTTAATTTGCTTTCCAGATACTATTTCGGACAGACCAGAATTTTTTTTGATTATTTTAACTCAATTTTTATTCATTATGCTCACCTACGATATTATTTTGGAGCTGCTTGATGTTTTAATATCAATATTGCAGTGTCTGAATTATGGATCTGAAGGATTACATTGATTTGTAGGTTAATCTAATATTGTTATCCCTGAGAGACAGATCTCCTGTGTCATTCAAAACAGAAAACTTTTCTAAATACTTAGATTTAATACTCATTTTATAATATCATTTTATATACAAATATCTCTGCTAGAATTTTTGAATATTTACTTTTGGTTATTTTTTTAATTTTGATTGTTCAACAAATATTTATTGAATGCCTACTATGGACTAGGCTCTTGGGATATAATGATGAGTTTAGAAGTTTAAAAAATAAATGATGCCTAAGTTTTTTGGGTTTTTTTTTTTTGTTTTTTTTTTTTTTTGAGACAGAGTCTCACTGTGTTGCCCGGGCTAGAGTGCCGTGGCATCAGCCTAGCTCACAGCAACCTCAAACTCCTGGGCTCAAGCGATCCTCCTGCCTCAGCCTCCCAAGTAGCTGGGACTACAGGCATGCGCCACCATGCCCGGCTAATTTTTTCTATATATTTTTAGTTGTCCAATTAATTTCTTTCTATTTTTAGTAGAGACGGGGTCTCGCTCTTGCTCAGGCTGGTTTTGAACTCCGGAGCTCAAACAATCCTCCCACCTCAGCCTCCCAGAGAGCTAGGATTACAGGCGTGAGCCACCGCGCCCGGCCCTAAGTTTTAATATATATATTCACATATATAAAATATACAAATATAATACAAAAAGATAAATTACTATAATATATACAGTAGTTGATTTCACTTGGATTACATGTTAATTTTTTAGAACTCCTAAAATTTCTATAATGAATACAATGGATTGGGAAAATTTTTGAAGTTGTTTAGATCTTCAGTTTCTTTTTAGAACAGTATATATTACTATAGGATAAATTTTTATAAAATGCAAAAAAAATATACAAATGAGTCTGAAGACATTTTTAATTTGTGATTATTGAGGTAGAGAAAATCTTGATAACAGCTTTTAAATGAATGGTGAAATATATAAGTTCACAAAAAAAATATTCAGTACTGTCGTCATTTATGTTTTAGGATATAATCTAAAATTTTTTGCTTAACCATCCCCTTTTGCTTTCTCCTCCTTTGTGTACTCTGTTTACCTAGCTTTCATCTTATTTTTCTTTCCTCCTAAGTATATCAATTCAGGAATTCTCCCTTTGGACATCACTGTAGGTGGTCCTCAGAGCTGATCCCCAACTCCCTGATCAGTAATTCTGTTTTATTTTGTATAGAAAAAAATGAGTTGAAAGCTGTATATGCTCCCATCTGGGGTCTTCGGTGGAAAAACTATGAATTTAGTCTGGCTGCCAGTGCAGCACTGGGGGTCTGTCGGAAAAAAAGGAAAATGTAGCCCCTTGGGACCTTCCAACGAGTGTGGCCACTATACAACCTGCCTTATTGCTTAGTTTCAGTTGTCATTGAAAACATCCAACAAGAATGGTTCCTGTTTGACTTTTTTCCCCCAATGGAAAATATTAGACACTAGTTAAGTAGGCCAAACAGGACGAAAAGCCTGGATGGATGGAAAGATGGTAGAGGAATTGAGTCAGTAAGGAAAACTCGTAATAGAAAATAGGTGAACGAAAATTTCCAAATTGATAAGAGAACATAAAAATACCTTGGGCTCCAGGCAAAAGGGATAGCTATTTTTACAAAGTCCGTTGCTTTCCCCTGCCTCATATTTCTGGCCCACGTTGCCTCTCGTCCCCACTATTGCAGTTTTCCCACCTCTTCACGCCACCCCCACTCTCTTGTCAGCACGTTGCTCACCTACACAGAATGTGCCACTACTTACCTGCTAATTCCTGGATAAATATCTGGATCCACTTGTCTGACCTTATCCCCACTCCTTTTTTCATGTTCCTTTTTCTCTAGCCAATTGAGACTGTTAACTTTGCCCCAGATGTGCCTTCTTCTTTTAACATCTCGAATTGTCTCTTTGGACTGGGAATGAACTGTCATCTTTGCCAATTGAAATGCTACCCAAACTCTGAGATACGGCTGTTTCACGAAGTTTTCTTAATCACAGCAGCCTGAAACAGACCCTTCCCTATCTGGACTACTGTGGCACTTTGAACCTCTCTTTCTACCTCTTATTAGTTATTTGCTCTCACCTTATTTTTCCAATAAGATCATAAGCTCCTTATGGGGCCAAAAACACATCTCTTCCTCCTTATTTCCCCCATAGTGTCTAGCATATCGCCATCGTTATAGTAACTGAGCAATGAAAATGTATTGGATAAATGGTAGAAAGAAAGCTCATTAGAATCACATAGTCTAACACAAATCTCACATTTTTGTGCCTGATTTTATACTTTCTTCTGTATAGAAAGAAAAATAGATACACAAATATTTGTTACTAAGTGGGGACTTTCAGTACCTGTAGCAGTGAAATTTAGTTAGTGGGTGTAACAAAAACAAAACCTCCCACCCTGGCTTGGTGTCTGTGGGTATCTGAGCACTGCCATCCAGTGCCCAAATCCAGTGCCATAGGTCCCCTAGCAATGGCGATTGTACCATGGGAAGGAGGACTGCAGTTCTGCAGGGCCTCCTGAATTCCTTCTTGTGGATTTCTCTCTTAGGAATGTAACTCCTTTCCTGATAAATTATATATATCTACTTGCCAATGATATTTAGATGTTTTTTAACAGTAGACCAATACAGATACTCAGTTGCTGATGCATGTGGGGAGAAGTGTTATAAATGTTTTTCTCCCACTTAACTTTTCCATGTGAACTAAATCCAAATGTGTCTGAATTTTCATAATTCAAAGAAAATATCTTTGCCAACTTTCTGAGAACAAATAGCTGCCAAGCAAAACCTGACAGCGTATTCCTTGGTGACAGTCAGTCATTAAAAGCTGTGTACACAGAGCGAGCAGCTATCTAAAACTGAGCTCATATGCAAATGTGAACACTTCACACTTAAAATTACATTGTGTATATTAAAACTTTCTCTAAAGTCTATGGAATGTTCAGGAAAAATATAGCTGGGCTTGACCTTAAGTACCTTGCCTCATTATTTTTTTGTCACTTCCAGCTACTAGTCTCTCCAAAGAAAACAACTTTCTTGTTTCTTTTAGTTGTGTGTGTGCCCTGAGCTTTATTCCCAATTGATGCTATAAAAAACTAAAATGGTTCCAAACACTGCTATTGTTTTTTTTTCCTGTAACTAATATTTAAACATCAAAGATACTCTGGTACTTTTATGCTGTAGAGTGTATATAAGACCATATTTTCCCTAAACGTACTTGTTGTCCAAGATTTTTTTTCTTAGCTGTTAGCCTTCTTTTTAAGAACTCATCCGACGGGTGGCCTTTTGATTCTGCAGAATCCCTGGCAGTCGTGTGGAGGAAGAACTGGAGTGGGGCCATATTAAAAGCAGGGAGATGATTTAAGAGATTTTTAAAAGTGCTTTATTCCGATATTCAAAAACAAACAAAGAAAGCCCTACCTTAATCATCCTTTAAAACTTACGCTGTGATGACCAATGACCTTATTTGACCAATGGAAAAATAAGTTTAAATTTTTAAACTCTAAGCATGTTATCAGGATTCCTTCTAAGGCTGGAACTAAAAAATAACCTACTTCCATTGAGACTTTTATTATTATAGAAATTCCCATGTAAATCCTTAGTGTATTTATTGTAAGAGCCTATTATGATTTGTTTTCAAAGCTTTATTCGATCCATTAATTGGGATTGTTTCATGAGATTCACCTTTGGCTCTGTTAAAACAATTATATATGCTGTGAAGGAAAAATATAAATTATACTTGTGTATCATATAAACATTTTTCTTAAAATGTCAGTTTTCTTTCCTTATCCTTATAAATCATACAATATTATTTATTTTCGTTTAAGCCTATATCCTAAAGACGTACTAATTATTATGGTTTTCTTGGAATGCCCATGTAGTTACACTGATTTTCTTAGCTGCATTTAAGTGGGTAGGAATGGAAATAGGAAATATTTGAATGACCACAAAACAAATCCAAATATGGCCACAAGTGGCAATACTATAAGAATAAATATAAATATGTATCAGGAAACTCAATTGGTAAAGTTACAATAAATACACAATGCAAAAATAGAACAAAGACATTTTATCCTACATTTAAAATGTTGAAGGTATTTCTAATTTGATATATGAGATGTCATAAAGAGAGCATATTAAATGAAATATATCTTCAAATTGCTGTTTTGTTCTTTATCAAAAAAAAATTTAATGGCAATTTAGGATCAAAAATAATACCACAAACCAAATTCAGCTTTAATTACTATCTAGCCATAAGAAGAAATGAACTATCAGCCAAAAGCAAGGTTCTTTGATCTCACATTTCAACCTTCTTGTCCTCCAGATGAATGAAATGGTCTTTTCTCAAATGTTTAGCAGGCCTTTTGCCATTTGATAGAACAATTATTTTTAAGAAGGTTTAAAATGTGATCTGGAAAACCACATTGACTCTATGTGGCATATTTGCTATTCTTAGCCTGGTGGAATAAGCTGGAAGTGGATGAATAATGCAGGTTAGAGAGAAAACAGATGCTAAATATTACAAATAGGAAGGTTTTCCAGCAACGAGACTTTCATTTTAGGACTAGATTTTTGTTGGCACGTTTGGCATTATGACGATTATTGTTTTTCTCTCCAGCTGTTACACATCTGTATTGAAGGTTGGGGCAATTGGCGTTGGTCAGAACCTTTCAGTGTGGACCATGCCGGGACTTTTATTAGAACAATTCAGTACAAGGGTCGAACTGCTTCACTCATCATCAAGGTTCAGCAACTCAATGGAGTACAAAAACAGGTAAGTTTCTTTGTGTTCATGACCCAGGTAACTCTTAATTATTTGATGTAATAGAGATGAAACTTAAAGAAATGAAAATAATTAATAATAAAAAGTCACAGTGGTTATGCCTAGTTAACCTACTACTGCCATGCATGTGAGCACTTAGTAAGTGCTTGCTGATGATCCTGGTGATGATGATGGCTTCAAACCCTTTGTCCCATGTCTTTTACAAGAGCTGCTAACGAGCAGTAAAATTTACTGATTTTAGTTGCACCTCTTCTCCCTGTCACCACCTACCTTCTGGTGGAGGTGCTAATGAGCTGTGAAATAGACAAAAGGCCTTTATTGAGAGGGAAAAGAAGCAAGGGGTGGTGGGGACTCTGGATAATCCACCAGTGGATGACCAGGAGTTGGTTCTCATGCTTGTGTGAATGATCTGTGAAGAAGGGTTGTGAGGCTATCCCATGACAAAGTGGGCCTGGGTCTCCAGCAGGCTTTTCTTTTCCTAGGAGTTAATATTAACTGCAGTAAAAATTCACTGCAGCCTAACTCTTGGCATATAAAACCTCAGCTCTCAGCACATATTTTTACGTATTTTATAAAACTTCCTTTTGGCTGTTTTTGAAGTTCTAAGACTGCAAAGGGAAAAAAAGTATCTGACACTTTTTTTGTGTTCTTAAGATGTGAAAATGTGGTTTCTAAAAGATGTTTTTCAAGCATGGAGCATATGACAAGAGTAGAAAGAAAAAAAGGAAGTATTAAAATCTGAAAACTGGCTTCACTGCACACATAATAACTGGATTTGTCATAAGAGTTTTAACATATACATCTGCATCTGGATTGTAACAGTCTATCCAGAGCTTACGTGAACTGAGGACAGCACTCAGAAACAGCACCCAGTTCCTGGAAAAGGGGAGCTTCCCCCAGCAAGCAGCAGAGGCTGTTCTATTGCTGTATGCCAAGGGGTAAGCAGCAAGCAACTGGTGAGATGAACAGTAGTACCCATACCATGTACATTCTTGGTCTGCACCTAATCAGGGAGCTGGACTGGATGTTCTTATTATTGTGGGCCACAGAAATGAAAACTCTAGCAGAGGAGTCTTAGAAGAGAAGCGTGGAAGAGTCTTCCCAATTAACTGATCATTCCTCAGAATATTTATTGATTGCCTGCAGTGGGACATGATAAAATGGAAGACACCAAGTATGGGACACAGTCTTTGCTCTTAAATTGTAAATTTATACAAACCCAACAATGTATACAACTGACAGTAGGTGTGAAGGGAATTTAGAGGTTTCACTAAGAAGCTAGGCTTTGGAAAATATGAAGAATTTGGATTAAGAGAGTATATTCTGGGCCAGGCGCGGTGGCTCACGCCTGTAATCCTAGTTCTCTGGGAGGCCGAGGCGGGCAGATTGTTTGAGCTGAGGAGTTCGAAACCAGCCTGAGCAAGAGCGAGACCCCGTCTCTACTAAAAATAGAAAGAAATTAATTGGACAACTAAAAATATATAGAAAAAATTAGCCGGGCATGGTGGTGCAAGCCTGTAGTCCCAGCTACTCGGCAGGCTGAGGCAGGAGGATCGCTTGAGCCCAGGAGTGTGAGGTTGCTGTGAGCTAGGCTGACGCCACGGCACTCTAGCCGGGGCAACACAGTGAGATTCTGTCTCAAAAAAAAAAAAAAAAAAGGAGTATATTCCAAGTAGACAGTATAGGATAAGCAAAGAGACAACTATGGGACAAATGAGACTTACTGAAGGACTCATTAGGGGACCAGCCTACTAGTGTGAGCTTTGAACCAAGAGTCCATAAGACCAAGAAGTGTCACTGATTCCCACCTACACTCAAAACTCTCTCACTTCAATTTGCTCTTAATGAATATCTACCTAATAAATACATGTTGCTTTTCTGATTCTGTCACTCATGATCTTTCAAGAATTCCTTATCTACCTTCCTATTTTCTAGCATATCTGAGAAATGCTTCTTCAGCCTGTGTTTGAATAGTTCAGATGACAAGAGGCTTATTACCTCACACAGAAGTCCTTTCTGTTCTTGATTACTGCCAGCTAAGTTTTTTCCTAATTTTGAACCAAAATCTTTCACCATTCCACCAGCTTTTCCCATTCCTTAGAACTGTGAGACATATACAATAAGCATACAACTTGTTGTGAGGACTCCACAAGTCACCTCTCCTCTACGTGATGGCCCTTCAAAAACATGAGGGGAGCTATGATGTTTCCCCTTAGCTTCCTTCTCTCTAGCCCAGTGGTTCTCAAACCATTGAGTATGCATCAGAATCCCCTGGAGGGCTTGTTAAAACACAGATTGCTGGACCCAAGCCCTGAAATTTCAGATTGGGTGTGGCCTAAACTTTGCATTTCTAACAAGCTCCCGGGTGATGCTGTTGCTGCTTGTCCAAGTATCACCCTCTGACGACTATAGTTCCAGTCTAAACTTTCCCAGTTCATTCAATTCTGGTGTGTGGTTGCTAGAACATTTCACAATTAGTAACATGGCAAGGTCCCTCCATGGAGAAATGGTTTGAATGATATGTCCAGGTGGTTAAGATCATAGACAAGTTGGCTGGATCCCCTCGCTAGCTGTGTGATTTTCAGGAAGTTATTCAACCTCTTTGTGAATCAGTTTCCATATCTGTAAAAGGAAAATAGTAATAGTGCCTTCCTCAGGAAGTTAGTGTGAGGACTGAATGAGTTTGTGTATGTAAAGTGCTTACAGCATGCCTGCTCCACTGCTATAACCCAATATACTTTAGTTACAATTATCGCAATAAAATATTCTCAGGCATGAGTAACACTAGTTGGACTTTTTTGTGTTACTACAATAATGCCCCATTATTGCATAAATACTATGTATTTTCAAAGAATGATGTTAAATTTCAGGGATCAATTAATACATACAGTGTTCCTGCATGGAGATTTCACATTGCAATGGTATATCAAACATCAAAAAAAGTTGTTCCCTTGAAAAATACATTTCTAAAAAATTCCGCAAAGTTTTACCATCTCTCCTTCTCCCTCCCCAACCCCTACTCACTCACAGACACACACACAAACACACACAAATTTTAAATGTCTTTTTCAATTGGATTTAATATTTATTGTCAGGGTAGTCCAACTGGCGTTCAGATTAGATCTGGTTAAAGTAGATCAGAGACATAGGATTTCCTCACTTGGCGACGTGAGGAGGAAAGGAACCAAGCTTCAAAAGAGCTTCATGGATTCTTGCCTCCTTCACATCTTGGCTTTTTTCCTTAACCCCCACCTGGGCCTGGAAGTTTGCAATAAACTGCAGCTGCCTAATTACCAAGGCCCATTTGGGGAGGTGAGTGTATGCAGATCCCTGATGTACCCTAACCATATTAATATGCCCCTGGATAATGGAGAATTGGCTAACGATCTTTTTTAAAAATTTTCAGAATATTATGGGGTAACAAACGTTTTGGTTACATGAATTACATTTGTGCATATTGAGTCAAAGTTATAAGTGTGTCCATCACCCAGATAGTGTGCAGTTAGGTGTGAATTTACCCATTCCCTCCTCCCCCATCCCACCTGCTTGATTTCTGTTGAATTTTACTACCATATGTACACATGAGTTGATCATTTAATGGTGAGTACATGTGGTGTTTGTTTTTCCATTCTTGTGATACTTCACTTAGAAGGATGGTCTCCAATTCCAAACAGGTTGTTACAAAAGGTATTAGTTCACCATTATGGCTGAGTAATATTCCATGGTATATACATACCACATTTTATTAATCCACTCATATATTGATGGGCACTTGGGTTGTTTCCATATCTTTGTGATTGTGAATTGTGCTGCTATAAACATTCAAGTGCAAGTGTCTTTTTAATAAAATGTCTTTTTTTCCTTTGGGTAAATACCCAGTAGTGGGATTGCTGGATCAAATGGTAGGTCTACTTTTAATTCTTTGCAGTATCTCCATACTACTTTCCATAGAGGTTGAACTAGTTTGCAGACCCACCAATAGTGTGTAAGGGTTCCTTTTTCTCTGCATCCATGCCAGCATCTGTTGTTGTGGGACTTTTTGATAAAAGCCATTTCCATTGGGGTTGGGTGATATCTCATTGTGGTTTTGATTTGCATTTCCTTGATGATTAGAGACATTGAATGTTTTTTCATGTTTATTGGCCATTAGTCTATATCTTCTTTTGAAAAGCTTCTGTTCATGTCTTTTGTCCACTTTTTAATGGGGTTGTTTGATGTTTTCTTGCTGATTCACTTGAGTCCTTTGTAGATTCTTGTTATTAGCCCTTTATTGGATGTATATCATGCAAATATTTTCTCCCATTCTGTAGGTTATTTTTTGCTCTATTGATTGTTTCCTTAACTGTACAGAAGCCTTTTAATTTAATAAATCCCATTTATTGATTTTTGTTGTCGCTGTGATTGCTTTTGGGGTCTTCTTCATAAATTCTTTCCCTAGGCTGATATCTGTAAGAGTTTTTCCAATCTCTTCTAGAATTCTTATAGTTGCATGCCTTAGATTTAAGTCTGTTATCCATCATGAATTAATTTTTGTGAGTGGTGAGAGGTGCAGATCCTATTTCAGTCTTCTACATGTGGCTATCTAATTTTCCCAGCACCACTTACTGTATAGGGATTCTTTTCCCCATTGTATGTTTTTGTCTGCTTTGTCGAAGTTCAGATGGCAATATGAGGAGGATGGTTTTATATCTGGATTCTGTGTTCTGATCCATTGGTCTAGGTCTCTGTTCTTGTGCCAGTACCATGCTGTTTTGGTTACTATAGCCTTGTGTAGTATAGCTTGAAGTCTGCTAAAGTGATGCCTCCTGATTTGTTCTTTTAGCTTAAGGTTGCTTAGGCTATTTGGGTTCTTTTCTGGTTTCACACGAAGTGTAGAATTATTTTTTCTAGATCTGCAAAAAACGGCATTGGTATTTTAATAGGGATTGCATTGAATCTGCAAATCACTTTGGGAAGTATAGACATTTTAAGAATGTTGATTCTGTTGATTC